AACTTTTACTTAACTTTACATTTTCTCTCATTTACAACTTGTAGATGTGAGCACATGTGCACGTGTTCAAAATGTGCTAACGAGTTGGTCGAGGCTCGAGGAAAGTGTCTGATGTGTTGTGCGCCCATTCTAGAGATGATTCGTGCTTACTCCCTATGATGACTTAGACGATAGTAAAGAAAAATGAGATTACTATTGATTCATTCATCTTCATCCTCTTATTCCGTCCAATTGCCCTACTAATTCTTCTCGTCCAGGTTTCTATACATATAAAACTAATTTATACGGAACAAATGAAATAATAAATGTAATCTCTGTTATTAATTAATCTGGTCAGAATTGTGTTGAGTGAATTTAGAAAACCTTGTCTAACGGGATTATGAGGATTTAGTGTAAGGTTTTGACAGTAGAATGATTAGGCTAGAAACACAAACCATTGGAGTTTCAAGTGATAATATTACTGAGTACTGAACTTGGTTTTTATAGTGATAAGGATCACGGTGTTACAACTGGACCTATTACACGATCCAAGGTCAAGAAGACTCAACAAGCATTCATTCTTCATCTACAAAATTGGATAGGCTCGGTTCAACAATTATTTCATGTGTAACAAGTAGATTTGATTGAGGAATGATCATTTCGAGTTTCATAAGTGAATATTTGCACGGTTGAAGTAGCGGATAAAGTTGCTGTAAATTGATAAGTTGTTAGAAAACTTTATTTATTAATTTTAATTCTTGTAATAGAAGGGTGGAAGTTGTTGGTCATGACTCCAATTTTGTGGAGATTTAATGGGATTAGGATTAAATTAGGACCACTAACCCCTTTTGTGGACATTTAAAGAATTAGAAGTTTTTTTTTTCCTGTGGGAGACTATAAATACTCACATATTATTACGTCGAAGATAGATACATTTGAAGAATGGAAAGTTTTTTTTTTTTTGTGGGGAGACTATAAATACCCACATATTATTATGTGAAAGGTAGATTCTAGAGGAATGAAATTGACATCTCAAATTAAGACCTTCCCTTTAGAAATCCGAACATCATCTTCTTCAATCAAACCTTGATCAAGTTCGATTGTGGAGTGACTCAATTTAGAACAAGGTTCTCTTTGATCTTAAGAGGCAATCTAATTCTAGTTTATCTCTTGGTAAACTAATTCTACCCTTATCTCTCTGTTGATCCGAATTTTATATGAAGAGATGTAATTTCTCTTATTTAAGGATTAGACAATCTAATTCTAGCTTTATCTTTTGGTAAACTAATTCTAGCCTTTATCTCTTTATTGATTCGAATTTTGTATAAGGAGATTTAATTTCTTTGATTTAAGGATTCTCTTCAACAAAAGCTTGGATCGTCTATTTATTGATTAAGGTTGTCTTATCAATTTGGCATCTGAGTGTAGGTTGCATCTTTGTGCTCTACTTTAGAATTGATTTTATCTTTCATTTATGTTATTGTTTATCTTTACTCCAAATCTGTCCATTTATTTTTTTGCGGCCACTTCCACCATTCTTTTACCTCTTCTCACTTTATTCTCATTTTCTTCTTAAAAATCATATTTAGATCTAAAAAAAGAAATTCTTATGGTATTTGTTGTTGATATTGTGGCTACAAATTGTTCTTATCACTTATTGTAGAGATTTGCATGTTTATGTGATCAAATAAACTTCAATTCATATTTTTCTTAAACCATCTAAATCTGGAATCGTTTTGTTTGATATTTTTCTCTCATAAGTTACATTGAAGTCCCAAATTTTTGTAAATAAGAAAGTTAGATCATTCTAGTAAACCTTGGACTAATATATCTATGGATTTTGTTCTTGGTTTACCACAATCTAAAAAGAACAAGGATAGTATTTTTATTGTGCTTGACAGATTTAGTAAATAACTCATTTTATTGCATGCAACAAGACGGATGATGCAAAACACGTTGTTGACTTACTCGTCATCCATACATGTGCACTTTTCCTTTACCTGAAAAAATGATGTGGCACACGACCGTAGAATATTCAGTAAATGGCCCTACTATGGGAGGCCATGCAAATGCAAACACATGCAATCATGATTTAGGGACCTATCTCTAGCTCATCTAGGGGTGACCTCCAGTCTTAGACAAATTTGATGTGTAGTACTTCCCTACACACGACTCACACGTGCGAGTGTGAATCTCCAGAGCTCTTGCACACGCCCTGGACCCTCTGGTCAAGCTAATCTGTAACGACGTTTGGAGGTCAGCGGAACCCCATAGTGTCATGCGCCTCATGAACACCCTGCTCATCATACTGTGTGCGTTTACACTCATCATCTCTAGGGAAAGTATCCCTATGCTTATGAACATACAATATGCATGAGATCCCTGTCCATCTTATCATCTCTTCTCACAAAACCCTCTAGTCTCATCTCTTTGTTACATTAAGTAACACGTGCTCGTAGATATTTATATTAATATCATTTTCATGCTCTTAGGGTTATGTCCTATGTCAATTTAACGACATGATGCAATATGACACTCATCATCATATAGCATGCTCAATATGGAAAAGATGATCATATTAAGGTAAATGTCATGCAATCATCATACTCATCATATTGCCACAAAGTGCCTCAAGCATATCAAGTACGTCATTCATCGAAATATACAAATTACGCACATAATCAAGCATCATAACTCATACATCATCATATACTAGTATACGACATCATACGATACAACTTATATATCATCATATACTCTTATATCATCATATACTAGTATACGACATCATACGATACAACTCATACATCATCAAAGCTCATACATCATAAATTGTAACTCATACAATTTCTAGCCTATCCTATCGTAAGGTCACTTACTTGGTTAGTCTTAGCCAGCGTTCTCCCTAAGCTCGAGTATGTTCAAATTTCGTCTGGCGTCCACTTACTTGATTATTATGTGTTTCATGAATTTTTATTTAAGAAAAGTAAGTTTTGTATTCCTAAATGCTCTTATTTGTATTCCTAAATGCTCTATAAGAGATTTGCTTTTGAGAGAAGAACATGGTGGTGACTTAATGAGCCATTTTAGGATTAATAAAACTTATAATATATAATATGTTGCATAAACACTCATTTTGGCTGAAGATAAAACATGATGTTCATAAGTTTTGTAGCCATTGTTTTAAATGTAAAGAAGGTGAATCTAGATCACAACCAAATGGATTGTATACTATGGACTAATATATCTATGAATTTTGTTTTTGATTTGCCCCCACACTAAAATGGGTAAAGTTTTTTATTTGCCCCACACTAAAATGGGTAAAGATAGTATGTTTGTTGTGGTAGACAGATTTAGTCAAATGACTCATTTTATTGCATGCAATAAGATGAATGATGCAAAGGATGTTGCTAACTTATTCTTTAGAGAAGAGATAGTAAGATTACATGGAATCCCCATAATTATTGTTAGTGATAGGAATGTTAAATTTTTAAGTCACCATTGAAAAGTATTATGGATAAATTGGATACTAAATTATTGTTTTCAACTGTATGTCATCCTCATACTAATGGGCAAACTGAAGTGGTGAATAAGACATTAGGAGCGTTGCTTAGGGCTATTGATTCTAAGAATATTAAGTCTTCGACGAATGTTTGTCATTTGTAGAGTTTGCATATAATAGAGCAATTCATAGTGTCACTCATTGTTCTTTTCTTGAAGTTGTTTATGAATTTAATCTACTTATGCCTCTTAATTTGGTTCCTATTCGTTCTAATACTTTTGTGAGCGAAACAACTACAAGTAAGACAAATTTGATCAAAACATTGCACAAAGAGGTGAATGAGAGAATTTAGAAACAAAATTTCAAAGTTACTAAAAGAATTAACAAAGGACAAAAGAAAATAATTTTTCAACACGATGACTGAGTTTGGATATATTTTCGCAAGAAACGATTCTCATCTCAAAGGAAGACAAAATTCCATGTGATAGGGGATGACCTTTATCAAGTTTTTGAAGAATTAATAACAATGCCTATAAAATTGATCTTCCGGGAGAATTTTACTTTCAATGTTGCTGACTTGAGTTCTTTTGATGTAGTTGATGATTTTCCTGATTCGAGGATGATAGGTTGAATTATATTTGCATTAATAGTATATGTTGAATTATAATTGCATTTAATAAAATATAGGTTAGTATAAGATATTTAATTCAACATTATTTTCTTTTCTTTTCTTTTTCTTGTATTTGTTTATTCACCGGTATGAATCCATGTTGCATTTGTAATAAGAGCCCATTGAGAGTGATTTCGCATTAAATGTAAGGTTCAAAGTGAGTATTGACTAAGAAGAAAATTTCGGGTTGTTACATCACTTTTTTACTTTTTCTCTAAAAATGGCTATAGATTCCTATTCTAAATCGTATTAAATGTAAGGCCTAATGTGAACCTACACCATAATATATGCAACACCACATTTGAGGTTCATTTATCATATAACATTCATTTCATACCATAAATCGCCGCATAACATATTACATATCATACACCATTGTGTCACAAAATATGACACAAACAGGGACTACAAGGTATGTATCATTCCGATATCATACAAGTCATATACACCAAGGTCGTGGATTTTCAACATACAACCACTTACTTGATTGGCCTGAACTGAAATCACTATAATCTATGACTTCAAAGTATATTATAGAAATTTATTCACCTAATGGTATAAGATAACTCAAACTTGATTCCACGTTCATAAATTAGAATTCGCTCTCAAACTTGTTCAAATTAATTTAAATTTGCTAAATTTATCAACCTTAAACACCTAAATACAAAATATGGCTCACGTATGGTCGAAAATGATAGGAAAAGGTCTAAAAATGTCAACCCCAAGGTAAATTAATCGTGTCAGAACATAGATTCTCCAACTGTTCCATGGCGGGCTGTCGTGCTACCTGTGGGTTGAGTTAGGTTTGGGTTTTTTTATTTTTTATTTTTATTTTGTTAATTGTTAATCATCCCCTAAAATATCTCCCTGAGCCCTCGCCGTTGTTTGTTTAAACGTCGGCGGCCACTAGCCTTTCCTCCTCCCGATTACGAACGCAATGATACTCAAGACCCTCAGCCGCCTCCACACCCTTCCTCTCGCCTCTCTCTTTTCCCCTACTCTCTCTCCAAAATCCTCTCCCCACTTTCTCCCCATTTCATCCCCGCTTTCGCATTCCACCGCCCCGAATCGCTCCCCATCCCTCCTTGCTTCTGTTTCCAACACCACCGCCAAGACATCAATCTCCGATTCTGCTCGATTTGCCCGCACGGTTCTGTTTGTTCCTCCTGGAGTCGACGCTGATGAGGTGTCCGAAGAAATGATACTTCCAGGCTCCAATATTGTGCTCGGCCCTTACGCCGGCGACTCTCGCGTCAAGGAGGTTGAGTTCGTCAAGAGCAGCGCTCGAGCTAGGGATTGCCCTAAAGATAACAAACCGGAATTCGCGATTCTTGGTCGTTCCAATGTCGGAAAATCTTCCCTTATTAATGCTCTTGTTCGGAAAAAGGAAGTTGCTCTTACATCCAAGAAGCCAGGTCTGATTGATTTTACTTTTGTTTTAACTGTTCTTTAATTAGTTTTTGATGATTGTGAATTTCTGTTTGATTGAAGGGAAGACGCAGCTGATTAATCACTTCTTGGTGAATAAAAGCTGGTACATAGTGGACTTACCGGGTTATGGGTAATTTCTATTTCATTTGCATACGTCTATAACGATTGTAATGTTTATATGAAAATTTGTGCAATTACATATTAAGTGGTAGGATTTGATTAGTACAGTGTAGGAACATAAATAACTGAAACAACTTCATTTGAACTGTTATTGTAATGGGAGCAAGTTCTTAATCATATAGTCCAAAGGCTGCTCTTCGTTGTTTATCTCTTAATAATACACTATTGCTCTTCCAAATTGACGTACATGGTCTCTTAGGTTGATAGCTACTTCTCAGAAATGGCATGCCATTTCTAGCTCCTATTGCTGTTTGGATGATCGGATTGGTCATACGGGTCTTGATCTCGTCTATAATTTCCTTAGTAATAGGTAAATTGGGGGATTGTCAAACTAGTATGCAAACCTGTATAAGTGATTGATTACTCCCAATTTGATGCATTAGAGGCTTGTCATAAGAAAAAAGCATGATATACGAAGTGTATATGGTATATTTTATTTAGATGCTATGAGATGAATTAGTTTTCTATTTTATTTTATTTTTTATGGTCATGGTGCTGTACTGCTAGATTTGTGCCACTGCTTTTACAAGAAATGAAACTTTCAGAGATCTTAGGGAGTGTTTTTAATGTTCTTTGGATTATAAAGCATGTTTATATTTTTTTTTTTTTTTTTTGATAAGAAGCATGTTTATATTTTTAAAAAAAATTGAATTGAACTTGAATCAAAACGGTAAATAATTTGAGAATCAATTCATAAAAGCTTGCGCCTACCTCATTGAACCAATATTTGCCATGTTGTTAGGACGAAGTCTTCTCAATTTTTCATGTTTACAGGTTTTTCATCTGTTTCGTCCCCACCTTGATTAAGAGTTATGCGAAAAATCATAACGAAAGAAAGTCTATGACATCCATAGAAATACCTTAATATTTCTCAACAGTCTGAAACTTTTGTTCACAAGCCTTGAAATGAGAAATTTCTCATGGAAGATTATTACGTTCTTATTTGATATGTTAGAAACTTGTTGCTTCTGTATTTTAATGAAGATAAATATAAATGAACTAGACTTAAACAATTATAATTTCTCGACTCTCCATAGAATGTTTTTTTTTGTCTTGAGAATATCAAAATCTCCTTCCCTATCATATGCATTTTGAACTTCAGGCTTGAATCATTTTGTTTCTTATGCTGAAATATTTGATCTTCTTGATTACCAGCTATACTTCTACTTGTATGGCCTCCTAGATGTTAAATCTTTGGATCTTGAATGTGTTTGTGTTCTTTTGAATCCTGAATACTTTTCTCCACTTCGAAAATGGTCTTTCTTATCTAAGATTGTTCAGGTATATATCTATCATTTTTCTCAAGTATCTCAGCAGAATTTAATGTGGAAGGAACCAAAATGTAAAAGGTTTTGTTGTTTGTATTGCTTTGCCCTTTTGTTTAAAAGGTGTCCTTTTCTTGTTCTCTGTTTTGGCCGCTCAATAATTTTCCCTTGCCTTGAGATTTTTTGAGCTATTAATAAAAGTTTTCAAGTTTCGATCAAAACCAGGTCCTAGAGCTTTGCTATCTTCTTAAGGTAGATATAGTTCTTAACCTTTTTGTACAAGATGTATGAATTGTTTGTTATATTCATCTATTCTACTCCGAGTGCAATGCAATCTCTATCTCTACTTATACATTTTGTATTTAACACAAAATTTGATTCAGTTTTGCCAAAGCCTCGGAAACTGCTCGAATGGATTGGTCCTCATTCACAAAAGGGTATTTTATAAACCGAGATACTTTAGTAGCGGTGCTGCTTCTTGTTGATGCAAGTGTTCCACCTCAAAAAATAGACTTAGATTGCGCGAATTGGCTCGGTCGCAACAATGTATGTGATCAGAACTGAAGTACATAGCTTTATATAGATAGTCCTTGTCTGATGTACTTTCTGAACATCTTATGTTGTGTTGTGTCGTGCGTTTTCAGATACCTTTGACCTTTGTATTCACGAAGTGCGACAAAATGAAGGTGAGCAAAGGAAAAAGGCCGGACGAGAACATCAGGGACTTTCAACAACTTATTAGACAGAATTACAAGGTACATCCTTCTTGGATCATGACTAGTAGTGTCACAGGTTTAGGTCGCGATGAATTACTTCTACACATGTCCCAACTGAGGAATTACTGGGATCAATAAGTATCGACTTAGAGCCTCTTTTTGGTTGACAAAACCAGCTATCCATATTGTCTAATATATCTATCGCAACCAAAAGTTCCACAATTATTTGGCTATTTTTGTTACTAATTTAACGTACAAGTTCGTTAGAAGGTCCCTTAGAGAGATCAAAATGTATATACGTTCGTGTGTTCTTATATCAGCCATTCGGCACTGGTAGAAGTAGTTTTGTGGAAGTTTTAATTATGAACCTAAGCATAAATAAATTTTTGTAGCCAACTTCTATATTATCACGTAAGGAGACATTGTAGTAGTCCAAGGAAACGGGACGTGCTTTGGCTAAACTTTATAAGACGTTTAGTCATGTATGGAATACCCGAATTTGAAATGATGATATGATTAAGATAAGGAGATCTACCATGGATGGATATGTCAAAATGAAAAGCCAAAAATGAAAATTTGAACAGTGGATGGACGGACATCCACAAATGTCTCCCTTCTTTGGACTTCTCTGGAAAAAAGTGTTGCCATTTGCAACTTTCAAACCAAAGGGTAAAATTGAGAGAGATTCTTCCTTGTTTGATAAAAATCTCAGCTTTCTCAATTGTGTCAATTATGTTATTTTTGTTCATTAGTTTAAATTTAAAGTTAAAAAAGGAAAGAAAAAAGTGAAGGCGAAAAAATTTGACGAAGGGCGAAATTCTTAGAATGTGTTTTGTAGGGAATATATGTGTTGAATTCATCAAAGTCGAACATTCAACACAATAAATTTTGAAAATATTTATTGTAGTTCAGTTTTTCTTTTATTTGAATGCTTTAATGATAAAATTAGGATTTTCTGGTTATGATTTGAGTTTTTAGGTATTACGTGCTGGGCTAAGGGGTTTATATACTTTTTATGTTTAATTTTAGTATCATCTCTACTAATTTGGAAAATGGAAAAAGTTGCAAATGGGTTTGCTTTGAACATCCGGACGAACCTCTACTTTAGAACTAGATCTCATTGAGCAAGATCAAACAAACATCAACATAAGAAATTTAGTGATTTTAGTTTAGACCAACAAGATAAGTGAAGTTACTGTTAGAACGCCTTCACACTAGGTTGGATGAATTGTATGTTGTATGAATACAACGTATCATGTGGCTTATCTAGATGGTATTTATGTTTGTTAACTTTTTGTGATGTATGTGCTTCCAATATGTTGAACCATATATGTTATGATGTCAAGTTTAGGTTATGCTATATGAGACACTTAATGAGTCATATATGATAAGAATGAATGATATGCCATTTACAAATACGTATGTCTCATAAGAAGAATATAACATGTCTCATTAGAAGAATATGGCAGGAAAAGTATGGAAGTATTGATATGAACCAAAAGACATCAATCATACCATATACTTTAATGAAGATGTGAAGAAAAAGTTGTTAAAATTATCAAAAGATTGTTTCAATTCATACCACATTGAAGAAGAATAAAGTTTGATTGTTATAAATTTTGGGTGGGTTACACTTTAGAGTAATTTAAAGTTATTTTATTTTAAGACTTTATTTAATTTCGGTTACATGTACATAATGGCTAATTATGGCCATAAAGTGGAATGTTACACCTCTTGTAATGCCTTTAATAGTTTCATTTTTGAGGCTATATAAAGACTTGTATGTTGTATTTGTAAGCAGACTTGGAAAAGGTAGTAAAAGAAGCATTTGTGCTCTTCTTTAGCCAATTGCTAAGTTTATTTACAATTCTATGTAGTTTAGGTTGCATGTAGAATCATTCAAGCTAGACATAATCGATCTTGCTTGTGGAGTGATTCGAATCTCAAACAATATTCTTGTCTTGAGATATTCGATCAACAAGGTAATCCAAATCTTACTCCCCTTGTAGTGATTCCTAATCTTATCATTTGGCATCAGAGCTTCAGGCTCAAGATCGAATATATGTTTCCTTTGCGTTTCTTTTCAATTTGTTTTTATCTTTTTAGTTTTTAATCGACCCAAAATAAAAAATTTAATTTGGGCTCTACTAAAAAAAAAATGAGAGGTGAGAATGAAAGCTTCATTTGTGTAAATGAGTGCAAACAGAGTGATCTAAAATTCATTGAGTTTATTACACGTGAGAGAGTGTTGTAAGGTCATTTGTATTTCCATAACTTATTTTTTGCAGCAAAGTTTTACAAATAGATTCAATGACGAATCCTCTTGAAGAAGTGGAGAATGATATGAACTAAAAGACATCAATCATACATATACTTTAATGATGTGAAAAAAAAAATTGTCAAAATTATCAAAAGATGTTTCAATTCATTCCACACATTGAAGAAGAATTAAGTTTGATTGTTATAAATTTTGGGTGGATTACAATTTAGAGTAATTTATAGTTATTGTATTTTAAGACTTTATTTAATTTCGGTTACATGCACATAATGGCTAATTATGGCCATAAAGCGGAATGTTACCCCTCTTGTAATGCCTTTAATAGTTTCATTTTTTAGGTTATATAAAAACTTGTATGTTGTATTTGTAAGCAGACTTGGAAAATGTAGTAAAAGAAGCATTTGTGCTCTTCTTTAGTCAATTGCTAAGTTTATTTGCAATTCTATGTAGTTTAGGTTGCATGTAGAATCATTCGAGCTCGACATGATCAATTTTATTTGTGGAGTAATTCGAATCTCAAACAAGTGTGTGAGATATTTGATCAACAAGAATCATTCAAGCTAAACATAATCGATTTTGCTTGTGGAGTGATTCGAATCTCAAACAATATTCTTGCCTTGAGATATTCGATCAACAATGTAATCCGAATCTTATTCCCCTTGTAGTGGTTCCTTATCTTATCAAGTATGATAATATGCATCACAATTATATACCATGATTTGAATACAAAACTTCATGTATATTGTATGTTCTAAGCATGAGAGATTTTCCTAGCATGTTTTTTTTATTGACATGTACACTATAGATTTCCCTAGAGAAGGATCGACTTGCTTGTAAGACCTCGTGAAGGATTTGAATACAAGACCTCGTGAAGGATCGACTTGTTTGTAATGATTACATGAATGTTACGAGCATGAGAGATTTCCTTCGCATAAGTGATTTCTAAAATTTTAAATTTTATTGAGGGACTTAAAAGGTCAAATTTCAAGATGAGGTAAAAAAATACTAACCTCAACTGAAGGGCAAACCTAATTGCGGGTCTTCGAGTGTCCGAATTAGTATTATGGAGGAAGAAAAGGAGAAAAGAAAATGAAAAAGAAATTGATGAGGATTGGGGGTTTGAGGGAAAAAGAAAAAGAAGTTTTGATGGTTGATTTGCTCAATCCATCAAGAATGGAAGAAGAACTGGAGGTATAGCTTCAGTTTTTGTTCTCGAATTTTTTTCTAGATTCGAAAGATATATGAGGAATTAGGATTTGAACTTTTAGTATATTGTTTTTGGAGAAATTTCACATAAGTTTATGAAGAAATCCGAATTGAATACGATCGAAATTCGACATTCCAACATGTGTCAAGAATGATGAGATTTATAGTTTTTGACGGACTTTAGATGTGTTCATCTCATTCTGTAGTGTAATTGATTAAAAATTACTAGAAAAGTACCTTCGTGATCTTCACGATTAAAAATTTTGTAAAAGAACCCAAATTCCATTCAAATTTTTGGAGGAAAAGTGGAAAGAAAAGGGAAAGAATCATAAAATCATTATGAATCTAAGTTGAACTTGGTTGTAGGCAACATGTGCTGGCAAGGAGAAGCACTATGCGACCGGCCTCAGGTCTACAGTCTAATGGAATGCACATTGTGTGTTAATTAGAAGGTCAAATCTGCTTCGATTGATCCAATCAATTAATTGTGACCCACCCGAGTATGCCACGTGTCTCAACATAAAAATTTGGAGGAAACCGTATGCCCAGAACTTGAGACACTGGAATTGAATGGGGGCTAATATGAGCGCACCATGTATCATGAGTACAACGCACATATACCTACTATGTGGGAGACATCCAACCTCGCATGGTGCATGCAGGGAAGCGCATGAGTCTTCCCTTTTTGCTCTGCTCGACCTCTGTTTGACTATAAAAATTTCAGAAATTTTGGAATTTTTGACACATGAAAATCTACCTCGAGTAGACACGTGTCAGCTATGTAAGTAGCCTCACATACTATAAGCAAGTAATACTCGTAGGATGTGCTAGCATGGGAGCATTTATTATCTTTGGTGGTTAGATTATGCAAGTTAGGATCTCAAAATGACATTTTTGGATGAGTACGCAATGTATGTTATCGAAAATTACTAAAAGGCCCTTAGGCTGATTTTTATGCTACCACGAGCTAAGATGAGAATATGCATATTAGAACTCAAGTAGGACAATTTAGTCGAGTAAGCTATGCATGATGTGGATAATTAGCAAAATTTCCTTAGGTAAGGATTTTGAGACATAAGCTTTTGGCTAGAATGGAGGATGAGTTATTTTAATATGTGCTTTGGCGATTGATGGATTTTATCTCTATGTTGAGCTTTTATGTTTGCATGATATATAGTAATAGTACGTTTAACACCTGGTGATTGATTGTGTGTTCTCCTTATAGAACATGTTTATCTGCCCAAAGCTAGAACTAGGGCACTATAGTTGTGAGTTAATAAACTTGACTTAGCAAAAGAAGTTATTAACCTAAACAATTTTAGGATAATTGTTTAGAAGTTATTGGTTTGAACAGGTTTAGAGAGTTGTGCTTTTTTCACTATATATACTCATGAGATGTATGTTATTTACACAAAAACAAAGACAATTGAAAAGTTAAGTACTTAAGGTTCCTATATTCAAAAGCTCTCTCCCCTCAAGTTGTTCTTCCGTTTCAGTTATTTGTTTCGACATGTTTCGATCACGGGTCATTCCAACATTTGGTATCAGAGCTAGGTTGCCGAAACAAATGTCGTCACTACACAAAGTTGTTGGAGGAGATGTGACAACAATATGGAGCGGAACAAAGAGGAGTGTAACGCTTCAGTACCTATTACTCACGAAGAGTAACTATGCAACATGGTCGATAAAAATGCGTGTTAACTTACAGGCATAGGGCGTGTAGGATGCCGTCAAACATGGTGATGAAGTTTAGAAGCGTAAAGACAGGGTAACTCTTGTCGCCATCTACCAAGCATTCTTGGTGGACGTTCTTCTAATGTTGGCAGAGAAGGACTCGATAAAGGTAGTGTGAGAGACGCTACAAACAATGAATGTG